GACATGTCGTTTTTTTGCAATTTTTTCCATTTATTTCAACAATATTACTATATTTTTATAATCACATACATCCTAAAAATTTTCCTTAACATCTTCAGAAAGATTTATCAAAATCAGAATAATCGTTTAGGACATTTCAATATACTTTGAAATTTTCAAAATATCAAAGTTTTCAACAAAATCGATCTTTTCAAAAATTTTCACCTTTTCAAATATTAAAATTACGAAATAAACCATTCTTTTTTTCAAAAACTTCAACAATTTTGAATATTTAAAAAATTTACGAAATTTTGAAACAATTTCAAATTTTCCATAAATTATTCAAAACCTCAAGACTTTAAATTTTTTAAAAAATATCAGAATTTTTTTAAACATAAATTTTTTACAAATATTTTAGAAAATTTGAAATTTTCAAAAATAACAAAATTTTCAACAAATCGATTTTTTCCAGAAAATTCTAAATTCTCAAAAAATACAGAAAAACTATATTTTTTCAAAAACTATGAACAATTATGAACATTTATAAAATTTTGAAACAATTTCAAAATTACTAAAAAAATCAAAATTTTCAATAAAAATTTCAAGATTTAGAAAAATTCAAATGTTAAAATGGTTTAATTTTCAAAAAAAAATCTAATTTTTTAAAAAAGTTTAAAAAAACAGCAAATATTCTTTATAATACATTTTTTTTACAAAAATTTCATAATATTTTGAAATTTTCAAAAATATCAAAATTTTTAATAAAATTGAACATTTTCAAAAATATCCAGATTCTTAAAAAATTAAGAAAAAAAATTTTTTTTCAAAAAAACTCCAAAAAACTTTGAACATTTACAAATTTACGAACTTTTGACAAACAATTTAAAAATTACCAAAAAATTTCAAAATTACCAAAAAAATCAAAATTTTTAAGTATTTCAGAATTTCAAATTTATCAATAAAATCTGATATTTTTAAAAATCTTCGAATTTGCAAAAAAAATTAAAAATTAAAAAATTTACAAAATATTGAAAAAGTTTCAAAATTACAAAAAAAAAACAAATATTTTAAACATTCAGAATTTAAAAAAAATCAAAATTTTCGGAAAAATGAACAAATTTTTCGTAAACGTCGTCGCGCAATTTATTAAGTACTACATACAGTATACATTTATAATAATTTAACTGTTTGAAAATATTAAAATAACTGTAATTAATTTTACATTACGGTACGGGAAGTTCCAGCAATTTGCCTTAAGGCACGATATGCACCACTAGTTTAATAATCAACAATAATATATTTTGTATAATAATAATTATACAAAACTTTTTTTCCAGATATTAAAAGAATTACCGGAGGTAGAATCTCAACTTCAGAGCAAAAACTCAGGTCTCGTCCGACAGTACACTACTTCCCTAAGTCTGTACGTCGTCGGCGTTTTGAGAAGATACCAATGCTGCTTACTTGTAAGTAATAAAAAAAACAATATGCACATACATTCATTTAACTATTCATAATTTAATTTCATTTTCAGTATCCACGGAGCAGACATCAGCAGTCTTCGAAGGCCTGTACAGAGTCGTCAAACCGGTGACGAACTTTCATTTTTACCGAACGACTGCAGTTCGGCGGAAAGATGCGTCCTGGCACATTTGTACGATTTGTATTCTTCGTGTTCGTTTTTGAAGTGAAGTCGAAAGTGCATTCCATTGAACCTTTTGCAAATGCTTACCCGAAAATTCGACAAGCTTTGTATGCATCTTTGCAGCCGATGCCTTCGAGCTATGATCTAAATCCGCAGTTTATGATGGACGTATTGACGAATCCTAGGAGAGGAGGTAAGGGATAAAGGATAAATGATATATATGGTATATATTATATATATATATATATATAATATATATATATATATTCTATATTTCTGTATTTTCAAAAATTCTAAAAAATCCCTTAACAAACTTCAGAAAGATTATCTAAATCCGAATAATCGTTTAGTAAGATTATCCTTTCATACACCATTACAGAAGAATTTTATTTATAAGATCTATATATATATATATATATATATATATATATATATTATATATATAAAATTCTTCTGTAATTGTGTATGAAAGGATAATTTTCCTAAACGATTATTCGGTTTTTGATAAATCTTTCTGAAGTTTGTTAAGGGATTTTTTAGGATTTTTTGATTTATAGGAATATAGTTAGATTGGAGATATAAATGGAAAAAATACAAAGAACCGCCTATCATTGCTTGACATTGAAAATATTGAAGCATTGTTTGAACATTAAAAACAAATGATGACTGTCATTTGCCAAACATTTCAATTTACTTATAGACTAAGACAATATTAAAATATAATATATTCATGATTATGAATAAGAAAAATGTAATGTCTACATTATTATTGCCGAAAAGCAGCTGAGATGTGCTAAAAATTAAAATAATATAAGATACAGTCAACAGGCGTCTGACGGTTGAGGAATGTCAGTGAATAATACCCTATATAATTCTAATCGATAGATTATTATTTTTAAACTAATGCAGTCGTGTTTTGCCTTACTTTACTAAATCGCAATACAAAAAAATTTACTTATTGAAAAAATTATTCAGAAGTTCCATATTTTCATATTTTTGACATTGGATACGGATTGTTTACTCAAGTCAATGGAGCGTTTTGGGTCTGAATTTTTTTGCTGTGCTCCAATTTGTATGAAATTTTGAAATTAGGTTCATCTTATTCTCAAGTTTGAAACTGTGAAAATAATTTAGACTCCTTTGCCACTTCCCTTTTTTAGAATAACGTCAGACATCAATAAAGGAACTAATTATGAAAAAAAAAAAGTTTTATAATGTTTTTCAAAAAAGCAAATACTTTTCAAGTTACTGGCTATTGAAAATTCGTTTTTTTGCGTTTTATCATTTTTTGGCAAATATCTCCAAAAATATACATTTTAAAGAAAATCATGAAATGAACAAAATTATATCAATTAAAATCTTAATAAATTGGTGTTTATAACGCGTCCTAGGAATAATATTAAGCTAGTATGAAAGAGCAAAGTCATTTTTTGTCTTGTTCGAAATTAATGTTTTTTGTGTTCAAGCTGTCTAGCGGGCGAGGTGTTACATTTTATATATTTCATGGGGTTTTATAATGATCAAAATAAGCTTTAAAATGAGTACTGTTATGTTTTGTTTTCATTTAAATCAAATAGTTTTATGAGTGTCATTTCCACCAATATTACAATTAATCGTATTTCATCTACAATTAACTTGATTCAAGAGATTCCAAAATATCACGCAAATTTGAGCACAGTAAAAAAGTTCACACGTTACATCCTTTTTTCCTCTTCATTTATTGCACTAATTTCCTTGATCGTAGATTGAATAGTTCTTATACTAATAGGATTTGACCAATTACACCTAAGTCTGTTTTTACACGGTCTTTTTGTACACGGTTTGAAAATTGAATATTTTTAATTTTTTTACACGATTTTATTCTATTTAGCACGATTTTATTCCATTTAGCACGATTTGAAATTTTATGTACCTAAATTTTTTTTGTCAAATTAAATTTTTGCGAGGTATGTTCATATCACAAAAAAGTATTTATGAAAGAAAAAAAGTCTGAAACCATCGATAGTATCTATAGTTTGCGAACACTAGCTTAAAGATTTAAGTGAATTCCCCTTTAGCGCGTACAAACAATTTTTACTGGTCAAAGCAAATTTGAATAGCACTAATTTAGGGGAATTCCCTTTATGTGCATACAATAAAATTTACTGGTCAGATTTAAGTAATAACCTATTCTTTTCGTTCACAACATAGTTTATTAGTTCCTGAACTTGCCATACATTTAATTTATATTACTTTTAAGATTAGAGTGCATATCTTTTTTATCATTAATTACTATGCTTGTGAAAATAAGCATTATATATTTGATTTAATAAAATAAACATGAATTCTTGTTCTTAAAAATTCTTGGTTTTCACTAATTTTAATAGGTTTTAGAGATTAGGAACAAATCACCCATTTTTGTATAAGATCAATGTCTTTTTTTACACGTTTTTTTCACGGCTTCTTCTGGAACCAATCTACCGTGTAAAAACAGACTTAGGTGTATATATATATATATACATATATAATATATTTTTTATATCAAAGTCGTTTTTAATTTAGTAACAAATTGAGGTGTATGAACTTCTTATAGAAAAAATAATATTTATAAATTAAATCTTATATTCATTCGCATTTCTTATACGCTAACACCTACATCATAGGTTCCTATTCTTATACTTACGTATGCCTATACTTCGCATCCTATACTACACGCCTTACATCTATACCATACGCTATATTCCATCATATACTCTCAAATCCCTACATTGTATACCGAATACACCTAACCTATATCTACTATATATCCTATTACCTACAATTTTCCTTACACGCTTCATTAACCCTACCGGGAATCGAACCCGGGTCCGCCGCGTGGCACGCGACGACCTTAACCACTCGGCCACCGTAACGCTACAATCAACCGTCTTATTCCGCGTGTCCTCGCGCCACCTTAGTATTATTTATGTAATTATTTAGAAAATGACCCGCGGAAACAACAGTGCGTCCCATATCATATTATTAACGGGGGTAGCCGATAGGGTAGTGGTTAAGGTGCGCGACTTCCACGCGGAGGTCCCGGGTTCAATTCCCGGTATAGACAATAGATTGGTAGAGATATAATACATAGGGCGTAAGGTAAACCTATAAAATATAGGTGAATATATAAATTAGACAGTAGTATTTATAAGAAGTAAAAGGTCTGTAGGTATATTACAAGTTAATGACGGTGTAGGTATCTCACGGTATGATTGATAATAGATATCTACCTATGATATACAATAATATAGTATAGTAAGATAAGTAATAGGTTATCTATCGTATTATTAGGTTAAGTCTTATAAAGTATTGTAATAAATCTTGAGTACTTTTATATCATAATAAATACTTGTAAGTATTAATGAATACAAATAATACCAGAATAAATATGATTAATGTCATTGAAGAATATAAATTATGTACTCAATGATTCCCTCATACTTGTACAATTTAATGTATAGACTAGCTGTGTATAATAGAGTTAATTATATAAAAAGTCAATATATTAGATTTGTGAGTTCTTATCGAAATATATCAAATTTTTTGAACCGGATTTTAAATTTTAGCATTCCGGCAAAAAAAATATTAGCACAACACCACTGATATTTTTTTTTAGGAAAAATCGAGCAATCCTGGGCCCGACAACTATCAGAGTCCGCCAGCAACCGCTACTCCTTCGTATGCAATGCAATTTTATGTGTCTGCCGAGAAACCGACAACGACAGGCTAAATGATATAGCCATCACCTGCGCCGAATTGACTGCCTGCTGCAACACACTCGCAGCAGAATGGTTGGCCGTGTTAATGGCCTTGTGCTGCTCCGGAACTCATAGCCAGAGCTTTTATATGGATGTCCTAGATCAAGTGGATGTACACGATTTGGGAATACATAATTCGTTGGCTGTTTTCACATGCATTTTAATAGGTAATAATTGTAGAATTTATGTTGAAAGTTTATGTGAATAATAATACAACCGTTTATGCAGAAGGATAAACACAGACTGACTGATTATATATTCTTTAACTAATCACATTCATTACAAAATATTATTAACAATCACTTGTTTTACATAAAACAAAAGACAAACATATATACATAAACATAGTAGACACAGAGCGTTTAGTATCAAACTTCAACAATAATTAGATTTATAACTAGTGGTGTATGGCATCGTGCCTTAAGGTAAATTGCTGGAACTTCCCGTACCGTAATGAAATCTTCGAGAAGTTTTAAACGTTTTCAAATATATTATTACAAATACTGTAACTTTCATTATTTTTACATTGCTATCTTGTTATGTCTGAACAAATCAAATGTAAATCATAAATCAATTATTACATTAACAATCGTCATTTCATTTCGAATCAAATTTCAAAAAAAAAAAAATAGTTGCCTAATTTGCACAAAATTGAAAAAGTTTATTTTGTTGAAACAAGCAGAAAGTTCTTTAAGTCATTTAAATCGGACACTTAGTTCTCTCAAAAACTGCCATTTTTTTAACATTTAGCTCTGTATCTCCAAAACCGCTGGGCCTACCTTTGCCAAAAACTAATCAGCACATCTCCCTATCAATAGGAATCGAATGTTTTTCAAACCATTCAAATCGGTTGATCCGTTCCCTCAAAAACTCGCTTTCTATTTTCTGCACTCTTTGCTCCATATCTCCGTAACGGCTGGACCTGCCTTTGCCAAAAACTAATCAGCACGTCTCCCTATCAATAGGAATCGAATGTTTTTTAAACCATTCAAATCGGTTGATCCGTGCGCCCGAAAACGTGGACGATAAAACGCGGACATACAAAACACACACACACACTCACACACACACACACACACACACACACACATCCATTTTTTCTGAAGTATGCCAAAATGTTCAGAAACCTTCAAAACGTCGAGAAATGTAAAAATTTTTGATTTCGATTTTTGGACGATTACTATAACTTACCCTACGGGAAGTTAATAATATTATTTATAACTAGTGGTGTATGGCATCGTGCCTTAAGGCAAATTGCTGGAACTTTCCGTGCCGTAATGAAATATTCGAGAAATTTTAAACGTTTTCAAATATATGATACAAATATATCATACAAATACTGTAACTTTCATTACTTTTCCTATCTTATTGTTATATCTGAATTAACTCTGTGATAATTTATCTTGAAGTTTCCAGGAAAATTCATATTTGTCATTTCATTTTTAATCAAATTTCAAAAAAAATTTAAAACAAAGCTCAGATCTGCAAGCAAATATCCAATCCTCACCAAATTTTCTTCAGCAATAAAAAATCAAACATCCTATTACAACTTAGTATGTTCATCAAGACCATGTACTCTATAGCCAAAATAATCAAGAAAACATATAATGAGCAAATTGGATTTTCTGGCAAAACATAAACTTCTTATTCAAGAAATCTCAAATTTTTATTTAATATTTACACACAATTGAAAAAGGCTCCCGTATAGTCACAGTCTAAACACACTTGCAAATAATTTTGTGCGTCACTTTGACTTAGATTGTTGGCGGCATTTTTGCTAAATAGTTTTCACAAAATTAAAAAAATGCTCCAGTACATAAACAGTCTAAACGCACTTGGGTAAACATTTGTAGCAGGATGTCTTTTAGACTGTGCTTAGTCTGGGTAATTTTTTTGATTTTTGACCCAAAATTACATTTCCATAATTTATCTAGAATTAAAATTCTCATCGTAATCATTTTCGATATTCAAAAATATATTATTACAAATACTGTAACTTTCATTATTTTTGCTATCTTGAATGTAAATCATAAATCAATTTATCTCCAGAACATTAACAATCGTCATTTCATTTCAAATTCAATTTCAAAAAAAAATAGTTGCCTAATTTACACAAAGTTGAAAAAGTGCTCCCGTATAGTCACAGTCTAAACGCATTTGCAAATAATTCTGTTCGACATTTTCACTTATACCGTGCTTAGCCTGGCGGCTTTTTCACATTTTTCAATAGTTTTCTCACAAAATTGGAAAAGTGCTCCAGTACATAAACAGTCTAAACGCACTCGGGTAAACATTTGTGCCAGAGTGGCGCTTAGACTGTGCTTAGCCTGGGTCATTTTTTGAATTCTTTGAATTTTTAATCCATTACAAGTCAATAATACATATTTAATATTTTGTTTTTTTTGTAATTTTAATAAATTGCACTTATTTTTTTCAGCGCGCCATTGCTTCTCTCTGGAGGATCTTGTTCGACACGTTGCTTTACCTTCGTTTGTTAAGGTAATTTATTAATTTATTTATGAACACACACACACATATATATATATATATATATATATATAATATATATATATATATATATATATACCAGCTGACCCGACCAACGTAGTTTTGCTAAGTAAGGTATATTCTAAACAATTTCTATAGAATCAAAAATATTAATACTTTAAGTGTTGTTTGATTGCTATATATAATGAGGTATTATAAAAACAATAAACCCCATTAGTTTGTCTATATTTTGTCAATACAATCAAACTGCTGGAAGTTTTATACACTTTCTATAGAAAACATGGTATAATTCATTCAATCCAAGTCTTTTTTGGTCTTTCGACTTATTGATTACGTTTCAAGTTTTTCAGATACTTTTTGGATTCTGGATTTTGTGTATAATTGTAAATAATACTACTGAAAAATTGAAAAAAAAGTTCAAATTTCTATAAGGAGAGATAGAAAATGAATTCTGAATTGGAATAACATAAATAAAAAATAATATAACCTAGAAAATGTTTTATAAATACCAATGAGTATATAATTATACAAATGACATCTTTTGGAGCACCGTATTTGAGAAAAATATGCCAAAAAGTGCATTTTCATATTAACATTTCAAAAAAGTTAATATTGTTGAGTTTGTAGTAACACTTGCAGCCCTATTACATGATTTTACTGAATTGCAAATTTATAGCTGTTTTTGTAAGAAACATGTGTGATTTTATATTTTTATAATTTAATACACATATTGAGAAATAACATACTAAAATTTTGTAACTCTAGTATACCGTTTTATATTTTTAAATATTTTTCAAAATACTCATCAAACCGTGGATTTGCAACTATTGCAAGAGTGCATTTGTATACAAAATTGTACATTTATAGCTTTTTTTGTTAGAAACATATGTGATTTTATATTTTTATAATTGAGTACATATATTAGGTGATAACATACTAAAATTTCGTAGCTCTAGTATAATATTGTATATTTTTAAAATATTTTACAAAGGTACTTGTCATATCATATCCAACCGTCGATTCGCAACTAATAAAAATAGAGTATGTAAGTGTGCATTGCAATTTTTTAGTTTCTTTTGTTAGAAACATATTTGATTTGATATTTTTATAATTCAGTACACATATTAAGAAATAACATACTATAATTTCATAACTGTATTACACCGCTTTATATTTTTAAAATATATTTTAAGCCGTCAATTTGTTTACGTCAAAGCGTTTACTAACGTTTTTGTTTATAAATAAAACTACAAACAAAACTACTTACTACAATTTAATCATAATTGAATAATATTCACGTAAAACATCCTGTTAAACGTAATTGAACAACAACCGTCAAAAACGTTTGACATTTGACGTATTAGCCACCGTCTATTGTTTTATTTAAATTACGCTTCTACAAAAAAATTTAAATTAAAAATGTAAAGTTTCTAAGCGAATTTAAAATAATTTCCCACCTTTTGGACCTTCTCAGGATTGGCACGAGTTTTTCAAGATTAAGACTGGCCAAATCGGTTTAGCCGTTTTCGAGTTTTAGCGAATCATTTGATCGAGAGCTCCATTTTTATATATAAGATATATATATATATATATATATATATATATATATATATATATATATATATAATGTAATATTTTTTAATATTGTTTCAGGTATGCCGTGGCGATATACCTCTCGATGCTGAAGCTGGAGCCAGGCTGACTTGTCATTTACTGTTAAGGCTATTTAAGACTGTAGAGTGCCCTCAACCAGGTAAATAAAAATTTATTAAAATTATAAAAACAAAGAATACTGCCTAGTATTGCTCAGTGGTAGTTTAACATTTTGAAGGTAATTGTTATATATAATATCTCGTGCTTAAAAAAAAAACAGTAAATATTTTATGAGTCTTATTTCTCAATTGAGCCTCTAATGAGCTCTTATTTTTTGATTGAGCCTTTTTTTATGAATTTACTTTATATTTCAGGAATGTACTCAGTGAGCACATCACCTCACCCAATTCCTACCCAGGGCCCTCAATATTCCATAAAACTCAGCTGTGATAGACATTTGTTGGCTGCTGCTCACAAAAATATTAGCGTGGAGCCAATATTGGCTGTACTAAAAACTATATTGGGTAAGGACTTAATTTTCATATTTAAGGACCGATTCTGCCGCACAACAGAAAAATGTTATGGCAAGGCCATGTTACGTTTCAACTTGCATACATTATGCTACTGAATCATACTGAATACTGTCAAAATGTAATGTATTTGCTGTGCATTCAGGCGTTTTACACATAAACTGCAACGTTGCTCGTATGTTATGAAGCTGAGTCAGAAAGACACTGTTATCTAACATTGTATGTTTGACATTTGTACGGTTTCTATGTTAAGTTTTTTATCTGACAACCTGAGAAATACGCTTGGCTGCACAGCAACCACATGGCTTCTGTCAATATTTAGTATGGAAAGTTCTTTATAACAAGGCCTTGCCATAACATTTTTCTGTTATGCAGCAGAATCAGTCCCTTAATCTAGGAAAAATCTGGACTTTTTCTTATATTGTTTGTGTCTCATTTTACAGTTGTCGGTGATACTACAGCACGTGACGGTGGCAATTCAAAAAATAATGGTAAAAGAAGTGGACTGTCGACACCCGTACACCCAGGTAGCACCCCGAAGGGTCAACTTGGGGCGAGTGAATTATCACACATTTTGGGGACTAGTGATATGAGTCTTATTGGAGCTGCTGATGACCCTATGTTGGACTTGACGTATGTACTATTATTATAATAATAAATTTAGATTAATGGACCGATTTTGGCGCATAACAGACAAATGTTATGGCAAGGCCATAAAGAAATAAATATTGATAAAAGCCATGCGTTTACTGTGCAGTCAGGCGTATTTCTCGGGTTGTCAGATAGAAAACCTTACATAGAAACCGCACAAATGTCTAACACAACGATGTTAGATAACAGGGTGTTTCTGACTCGGCTTCATAACATACGCGTAACGTTGCAGTTTAAAAACACCTGAATGCACAGCAAATATACGACATTTTCACAATATTCAGTATGATTCAGAGGCATAATTTATTTATTTATTTATCTTATTTATAATGTATGGGAGTCGGAGCGTAGCATGGCCTTGCCATAACATTGGTATAATTTTAATGTATCCTTTACCTATTTGGATTCTTTATTACAATTTCATCTGATTTTTTTCTTGGACAGGATGGTAGATTTGGAAGCAGGAAATCGTCATGCTCAAAGGTCAATTTTTTTAATAGAATTTTATGAATGTCCGCTTTTTGTTTGTTTGTGTCGTTGTACATAAATTTTTTGTAAATAAATTTTACATCTTGCTTTTTGCATTCATGCATATAATTTTTAGTTTTTTGTTGTGTTGCGTTTAATATTTTTTCATTCATTGCTTTGAACTCACCTAATAATTAGATAAGAAATATTTTTAATTTAATTTTTATGAATTTAAATCCGTGGTGTATGGCATCGTGCCTTAAGGCAAATTGCTGGAACTTTCCGTACCGTAATGAAATATTCGAGAAATTTTAAACGTTTTCGAATATACTATTACAAATACTGTAACTTTCATTATTTATGCTATCTTATTGTTATAGCTGAGCAATTCAAATGTAAATCATAAATCAATCTATCTAAATATCTTTATCATTTCGAATTCAATTTCAAAACAATAGTTGCATCAAATTTACACAAAATTGAAAAGGTGCTCCCGTATAGTCACAGTCTAAACGCATTTGCAAATAATTATGTGCGACATTTTCACTTATACTGTGCTTGGCGGCATTTTCACATTTTTCATAAGTTTTCACAAAATTGAAAAAAACGCTCCCATATAGTCACAGTATCAGGTTGTCACTTAGATTGTGATTAGTAAGGATATTTTTTTTGATATTTTGAACCCGAAAATTACATTTTCATAATAATTTACATAAAATTGAAAAAACGCTCCTGTATAGTCACAGTCAAAACGCACTTGCAAATATATTTGTACCAGTTTGTCACTTAGATTGTGATCAGTGGGTAATTTATTTGAATTTAACCCAAAATTACATTTTTATAATTTACATAAAATTGGAAAAGAGCTCCTGTATAGTCACAATCTAAACGCACTTGCAAATATATTTGTACCAGAGTGGCGCTTAGACTGTGATTAGAATGGGTATTTTTTTTTTGATATTTTGAACCCGAAAATTACTGTTCAATAATTTATTTATATTCAATTATAATTTAAAAAAAAATACATTTTTTGAAATGAAAAAAAAAGGATGAAATTTATAATAACTAGTGGTGCTTGGCATCGTGCCTTAAGGCAAATTGCTGGAACTTCCCGTACCATAATGAAATATTCGAGAAATATTAAATGTTTTCAAATAGATTATAATAAATGCTGTAACTTTCATTATTTGTATTTTATAGACGAAATATAAGAACTTATGAATTGGACGACGATATTTATATATGTTTACATAAAAAGTAAATAAACAAAACTTAATCAAGCGGAATTAGAATTAAAGGTTCTTATCTCATATTTTTTATAATCATATAAACTGAATTGCAAAATTATTTATTTAAAAGAAGAATTAAGAATTACATAAAATCCAATCATTTTCGATACGCAAAATAATTTCTTTTTTGTAATTAAAAAAAAATCTCCAAAAGCAATCGTTTTGTCAACACAAGCAGAAAGATTTTTGAATCATTCAAATCGGCTGCTTTGTTTTTTCAAAAACTGCCATTTTTGCACATTTAGCTCAGTATCTCCGAAATGGCTAGACCTGCCTTTACCAAAAACTATTATCATTAGGAATTGAATGTTTTTTGAATCATTCAAATCGGATGCTCCGTTCTCTCAAAAACTCGATTTCAATTTTCTGCACTCTTTGCTTCGTATTTCCAAAACGGCTGGACCTGCTTTTGCTAAAAACTAATCAGCACGTCTCTCTATCAATAGGAATCGAACGTTTTTTGAATTATTCACATCCATTTTTTCTAAGGCATGCCAAAATGTTCAGAAACCTTTGGAACGTAAAGATTTATAAAAATTTCTACTGTCGATTTTTACAATATCTTACATATAATAATACAAAAGGTCTTGTTTGTTTTCCATATATCCTTCTCTGTCGCTCTGTACCGTTGAGTATACGTCCCTCTCTCTCTCGCCTAAAGTGAAAAGTATAGCGCTCTCTCTTTCCTTCACTACGAAATATCTTTTGTCTCTCTCACGCAACAAAAAAGTTTTAAACGGAACTCGTTTTCGAAATTTCATTTATATTACCAATAATAATTTCATCAACATTTGGATTGTTTGTTTTTGATAAAAATACAAATAAGGGGACAATTCTGCCGTAATAGAGCTCATAACATAGCGTTGTCATGGCAACGTTATATTACCCTTCTCTCTTGGTACTAAAAACTGTGAAAATATCTATATAATACATTTTAAAATCAGGCATATTTTATATATAAACAAGCAAGGAATAATCTTATGATAACTGCATCATCGAAGTTTCTGTCATTATAACATTCTTACTTGCTTGTTTATATATAAAATACGCCTGATATATATATATAGACATTTTCACAATTTTCGCTGCCAGTAAACAAGCATAAGATAGTGTTGCCATGATAATGCTATGTTATGAGACAGAATTACCCCATAAATGTACATAGGCATGAAATATATAATAATATTTTTGCTTCACCATTTAATTCACATTTGTTAATTTAAACTTTTGTTTTTGTAGAGCAAAAACAGAGTTGTGATATTTTCATGTTGTCAATAATTTCTAAAATGTTGTCATAAAATATGATATATCATTTGTTCCACAAGGTGTTGGAATGTCTAATATAAATCAATGATGAAATTTTCAATAACATTTGCATGTTTTATCATTATGCACATTTATATTTTTTTTTTACACATGTATGTTTCAATCAGATTTATTAATATCAAATTAATTGAATCAATTCAATTATTTTGTAGCATTTTGCAAATAAATACATGTTCTAATTTTTTTTTAAATGTTTTAAATGTTATATTTTAAATACTAATGTATGATTATTTATAGTAGGATACACCATTCGAACAATTCAGAAAACGTTTCAAGTCTTTCTGAATTTGCACAGCATGTGTTGAGGGAAATTTGCTCACAGGTAAATTAACTAAAATACTCATTAAAATTCATAATATTTATCTGAAAAATACCTATATTTGTCTTTGTTAGAAATTGTTTTTATAAAAATATTTGGAATAATATAGTAATATTTGGAATATTTTTTTTATCATTTTAGGAATGGGTTCTAGAAAGATGTCTGCAAAATCCTGATGCACTTTGCGATCCTGATCTCCTGTTAGATAATATGCTAACTCCGAAACAAGCACAAAGGTATGATTTTTTTTAAAAAATTTATTAACAATATTAAAAATAACAAATTTTAATTTTTTCCTATTATTTTTTTTAAGATTGCTGCATATGATATGTTATCCCGAAAACGCAGCAAATATGAAGGAGGATATTGATCAGAAGTCTATTATCGTGCGAATTTTAGAGGTAAGGAATTATTTTATTTATATTTAAAAATAAATATTGTCTCGGTTACATGTTTCAATGTCGTATATGTCAACACTTTGGGCATAACAAGGAGCACTGCAAAAAAATTTAAGTACTGATGAGTTGCGTAAGGTCGAACTAATGTTATTTTGTCATTTATGCAATTTGGAGGTTAGTTTTTGACAGTTGACATCATTAAATATAGACATTATAAAAATTTCTAATGTTGCTCATCAGTAGAGTCCCCTTGTCTTAAATTAATTATTTACTGATATGTTATTCAAGTTGCTTGTCAGTAGAGTCCCTTTTCTCAAAACTTATTACTTGACTAAATCCTTTTGAAGATTTCCTTTTCCGTGGTTAAATTTAGTTATTTTACTAATTTTGAAACCAGATTTAAGTTGCTCGACAGTAGAGTCTTTTTAAGTCATTGAAACTAATTATTTTACTAAATTAATTTCTATCCCGGATTTAAGTTGTTTTTCAGTAAAGTTGTTTTTCCCAAAATTAATTATTTTAATGGTTTGTCACTTAAGTTGCTCGCTAGTAGAGTCTTTTTTTCGTCATTAAATTAAGTGTTTTACTAATTTTGATACCAGCTCTAGGTTGCTCGTCAGTAGAGTTCTTCTTTCCATGGATACATACTAAAGTCTATTATTTTTTAAAGTTGCTCGTCACTAGAGTCCTTTTTTGGTAATAGAACTAATTTTTTTCACTAAGTTTCTATCATAAATTTATGTTGCTTGTCAGTAGAGTCCCTTTTAGTCATGAAATTAGTTATTTTACTAAATTAATTTCTATCCCGGATTTAAGTTGCTTGTCAGTAGAGTCCTTTTACACAAAATTAATTACTTTACTGAATATTAATTTAAGTCAATAAATTAAAAATTATTTATTTTACTAGTTTTGATACTTGCTTTAAGTTGCTCATCAGTAGAGTCTTTTTATTTCTGAGCACACATTATTCATCATTTTATAAGTTTCTAATGTTGCTCGTCAGTAGAGTCCTTTTTCCCATGGGCACTTGGTTGATTTTTTTACAAAGTTGCTTGTCAGTAGAGTCCCTTTTTCGCAATAAAACTGTTCTGTCCCAGAGTCCCTATTAGTCATTGAAATTAGATATTTTAGTGATTTAATTTCTATTTTGGATTTATGTTGCCTGTCAGTAGAGTTCTTTTTCTAATAAAAAAGCTTACAGCGATTTAATGACTTATTTGCGATTCTCGGTATTAGTTGTTTGTTAGTAGAGTTCCTTTTCTTATATGCGCATATTGATATCAATATGTTATTTAAACTTTGCAACATTTTACTAAATTGTGCCCAATTACACATCCTAAGGAGAAATATTACACTTATATTTGTTCAAAATGTTACTATAAGTGTAATAATTATTCTCGGTAATACGTAATGTAATATATGTCAACATTTTGGACATAACATTGGACACTGTAAAGTTGATGAGTTGTTTAAATAAAATAGGCGTGAAATCGTACTAATGTTATTATGATTCTTGTGCTATTTGGAGGTTAGTTGACAGTATCAAAAATTCAAATTAAAAACTAAACAAATATTGTTTTTAAAATTTCACTCATCATGTAATAATTGTGTTTGAAGAACTTCATGTAATTCAAATTAACATACATTCATTGACTGTTCGTTTTTTTTTTTTGACTATTTCGCTGGCGATACAGTCTCATTATTTTTACAGCTGTAATATCTGTCTTGTCTATAAAGATATTTTCCATTTTAATAACTTCAACGATTTATCTAAACTACGAATAATATAGAAATTATTTCTAATCAATAAACTTACGTTTAGTAAACGGCATAAATGTTTAATTTGTTTTATTATTTTTAAGGAACAGGGTAAGATATTCTTCTGATTCAGGCATTTTTCATTAAATCAAAATTTGTACTACGATGTAACTTTAAAATATTTATTTATTTATGTCGATTTCCTCGTTGGTATCGGTACGCATACAACGTTGATGCCGTTACGCATACAACGACAGATCTCTATTTACACGACACGACTACTAAACACAATCGACTCTTATAAAAATGATTTCATCGAGGGCGAATGACGAACAGTTCGGGCGTAACGCAACTTCCGTTGCATTTTCACAGAATTACTCCCTAGTCGCGCCTAAAGAAGTTTTACTTCAAAAGTTGAACAATATTTTTTAATTTACATTTTTATTTATTTGTCTAGAATTTGGAACAATGGAGTTTACGCATGTCCTGGTTGGAACTACAATTAATGTTCAAACAATATCCTAATGTGGGTTCGTCTGAATTAAACCAGTGGCTGGACATGGTTGCAAGAGCTGCAATTGATGTGTTTCAGATGCCATCGGATTGTCAAGAAAAAATAAACAGGTAAATAAACTTATGAAATTTATATATATATATATATATATATACTAGATGACCCGACAGACATTTACCCTGTACCCACGTCTACAATTTTTTAATATCCCATACTAATGTTTACCGTTTACCTAAAAATAATTATTGTTTTTTAAATTACTCTTTACGCCAAAATACTATATACATTTATAATATGAACAATGTTAAATGTAGAACTGCTTTAAATAAAATGAATGAACCTCAATTCCCACACTATATTGGAAATTGAAGTCTTTTAAACGGTATAACAAATTCAGAAAAAATTAATATTTAGTAGGTATCCGCGGAAAAAGTACACAATATCACCTTGGATTTTTTTCACTCAAAATAATTGCTTCAATAACGTCGCCTATAATTTTTATAAGCATGCATCATATTTTAACTGGTTTTTAGTAATTATAATATCTTAATTACATTTTTCTAATAATTTAATATACATTATTACCAGGGACGCTACTGCGGTCCTAAGCGCCCCCTTCCTATAATTTTACCTGTTTCAACAGTTTATTATCAAAATTATTATCATTAATTAATATTTGGCTTTTGAAACATTTTACTTATTTATTTTGGGAATTTTATGCGATTTATTCTATTGAGCAAAACATAGAAAGCAAAAAAATTTTAGCATTTCATTAATAAACATAACACTGGTACTTTATGTTGGATTATTTTAATTTAATTTTTTATTATTTAAGATATCCAAAATTGAATTTTAAACATCTCCTAATTGATAACGTAAGGGCCAAATCGTATATATACATCTTTACTTTCCCATTTGTTGTTTTGAAGTGAAATTTTTAACGTATTTTAAAAATATTGTGCAAAGATTAGTAAAAGATGCAAAGAAATTATACATTCTTGAATTATATTGAAAAAAAAAACTGAATTGAAAATTTCATATCCGTATCTTGTGTTGGCGCCCTTGGACCTGCCCTGATTATTACTTAATTTCATATTTTAAGTGAATTGTTTTGTATCAATGCATCATTCAATCTGCCATACATATACTGTATCTTATGTTATTTTAATTTCTGGCACATCTCAGCTGCTTTTTGGCAATAATAATGTAGACATTTCATTTTTCTTATTCATAATCATGTATTTATTATACATATTCTAATATTATTTAGGCTTATAAGGGAATTGAAACTTTTTGTAGATAACGATTTTCATATGTTTTCAATGCCAGACAATGACTCGAATATTTTCAATGACATGTCGTTTTTTGCCATTTTTTCTATTTATTTCTACAATCTAATTATATTTTTATAATTACATGCATCCCAAAAAATTTCCTTACAAACTCAAAAAGATTTATCAAATTTCAGATAATCGTTTAGAGAGGTATATTTACATACATCATTACAGAAGAATTTTATATATAAGAATTTTATATATAAGAGTATATATCAATTACTATTTTTCTTTTGTAGTGCTGATAGAAGTAAAAGTAAAAAAATAGAATCGATTTGGCTGGTCGCTCCTCTGGTCTCCAAATTACCAAGTGTTCAAGGAAGAGTTTTAAAAGTCGCCGGACAAGTTTTGGAATCAGGTAAGGATTTGATAAAAATTTTTTTTTTATCTTTTTATTTATCAATGATTTTTTTAGGCAATTGGTGCAGTAACAAGTGTAGAAACGATTCTAAAAACAACGGAAACAACTCATCAGATTCTTCAAGGAATAAAAGTAAAGGATCTGGACCGATGTTGAACCATTTGCGTTCCTCGGATTAATTCTTACTTGTCTCAAAGGACAGGATGAGCAGAAGGAAGGATTGTTGACGTCCTTGCATTCGCAATTGTCGCAGTTTTTGCAGCTTTCAAAAGATGTAAGAAAACTTATTATTATTATCACTTATAATTAGCTTTCTGGAGGAGAAGTTTATGTTTTCATCAAAAAATCCGATACGCTAATTTTATGTTTTCTCCTGCACGTTTCAAGCCATTCTGAATCGAATGAGACCGAATTTGGGAAAAGTATGTGTGTATAATAGGTTGTCAAATATCTCCCTTCCGCCTTTGAGCGAAAAAGCGGAAGGGAGATATTTGACAACCTAATATAAACAGATTTTTGACCTTTAGTTGACGTTTTCTCAAAAACGGCTAGACCGATTTCAAATTATAGTAATCGCACAAAAATCGAAAATGAAAATTTATATGTATCTTTACTTTTCAAAGGTTTCTGAACATTTTGCCATACTTCAGAAAAAATGGATCTGTGTGTGTTTTTTTCTTTTTTTGTATAGCGAAGGAAATGCCTTTGTGCGTCCCAGACTAGGTCTTTTGTCAGGGTATGTCGGACTCAATACCTTCCGGGTATAATACTTCGTGGGGGAGGATCTAGAATATTATCATTCTTACGCTGGTTTTATACTTATCTTTTAAATTTGATGTGTGTGTGTATATATGTATGTATAAAAACAATTTTTTGTCCACGTTTTCGGGCGCAAGAACCAACCGATTTGAATGGTTTAAACAACATTCGATTCCTATTGACAGGGAGATGTGCGGTTTAGTTTTTAGCAAAGGCAAGTCAGCCGTTACGGAAATACGGAGCAACGAATGCAGAAAATAGAAATCGAGTTTTTGAGAGAACGGAGCATCCGATTTGAGTGATTTAAAAATAGATTTTGCTTATATTGACGAAATGAATAATCGATTAAATTTTTGGAAAGACAGGTTTAGCGGCTTTGAAGATATAGAGGAAAAAGTAAAAAAAAATGCCATTTTGCGGTCAAAAATGATCATTACACATGTGTTCAACAAATTATCAGATATTTTAAAAATGAGTACTAACTTTGCTACATATTTTTTTGGGTTCCGTATCAATATTTTTAATTTTTAAAGGTCAAAATCTCAAGAATGTCGAAATATTAGGTTGTCAAATATCTCCCTTCCGCTTTTTTGCTCTTGGTTTATAATACAAAAAGGCGGAAGGGAGATATTTGACAACCTATTATCAAAATTTTCAGAATAACATTTTTTTTAAATTTTTTTTTTAAAAAATATACAAAGTTTTGTACTTTATATATTACAATTTACAATTTATTTTTAAAACGGATATGTAATTCATATGCGTTATTCTAAACGTAAGATACGTGGTTATTGCGATTGTAGGAAATTTATCCTCAGATGGATTCATTCGGCATCTCTTGTTAATGTAAACATTCTTAAGCGTTTTGTGCGATAAGACCGTCACTGTATATTTTATGAACGATAAAATATATAATAATTATGATTATCTATTTAAAAATATTTACAATTGTTATTAATCCTTGATCAATATTCATTGTTACTGATTTTTTTCCCTCGAATATTTAATTGTGGTACGGGAAGTTCCAGCAATTTGCCTTAAGGCACGATGTCATACACCACTAGATCCATATATATATTATATATATATATTAATTTTGTTATATATAAGATATAAATGGGTGTAAACTTATATATCGGCATGTACATAAACCAAAATTATCTGGTATGTAAATTTTTTTCGCGACACAATTCGAAATTATTACGATGACTCCGAAATATCCTTCAAGTGAACTATATATTTCCTTAGCTATAATATAACTTTAAACATTTGATTCTATCTTATAACAGTCTAATGTTATGGCAAGGCCATGTTACGCTCCAACTTCCATACATAATGCAACTGAATCATACTGAATACTGTCAAAATGTCGTGTATTTGCTGTGCATTCAGGCGTTTTAACAAAACTGCAACGTCACTCGTATGTTATGAAGCTGAGTCAGAAAGACCCTGTTATCTAACATCGCTTTTTTGACATTTGTGCGGTTTCTAGGTTAGGTTTTCTATCTGACAATCTGAGAAATGCGCCTGGCTGTATAGCAACCGCATGGCTTTTGACAATATTTAGTATGGAAAGTTCTTCATAACATGGCCTTGCCATAACATTGGTCCATTACAATTTTAAAATCAATTCTAGGAGCGCATGGGAAATTTGGATGATACCGCTTCGAGGGAAATGATGTTGGATGCTTTGATCTTGCGATTCAGTCTTGTGGGAGGATTATTCGACACCATACAAAAGAACTCGACATCAACAACTGACTGTGCATTACTACTTGTCCAATTAATCTGCTCGTCTGTGATCGATTTGAATAATAACTCGTAAGTTCTAGTAATTATTTCATAACTAAAACTTTCAATTTCTTGTAACAAGATTTCTGTCAAGTTTTCTGGTAAGGTGAGCAAGAATTTTGCGCCAGATTTTCACTTATTTTATGATTGATAATAATTTTGTTTGCATTTTCAAAGAGATTATTATGAATATTATTACTGTGAATTTTACAATTCATATTTTATAGGCCTATAATCGGCCACAAAACAGTTCTATTGCTCTATTCGTAAAGTACGGCAGAATTTGCGAGGACAGAAATTGTTGAGAAATCAGTTTCCGACGTTGCTAGGCAACGATTGAGACAGAAATTATGTTAAGGACACTGCCGTTGCGAATAGAGAACGTAAACGTGAAATCTGGCTGGCAAGATCGTAAATTATACCGGGCAAGATCTTAAATTATGATTTGTCATATCGTTGCTAAGTAACAAACTGTCTACCATATCGTTGCTAGGTAACAAACTGTGTACCTAATCAGGAAATCTGGCGTCGCGTGCACCGGGCTCAAAATGATCGAAAATTATTAAATGATTTTTGTTGTGATTGTTTTTTTTTCCAGAGAGTTATTTACTACAGTTATAGACATGTTAGCAACTCTCATCCACTCGACATTGGTCTCAGATAATTACTCAGACAGGGACGAAAAGAAATTTTACCAAAACTTGATGAAAAAATTGAAGAAAGAAGTCGGTGATCGGATAATCCATCTATACAGCACGTTAGACAATTGCTGCAGTTACCTAAATTAACCTGCGAAGTAATAATATATTTTTGTTTTTATTTAGATTTGAATTTTGTCTTGATTTACAGTTTCTGTTTTTTTATAGGTGATTGCTTGTGAGCCTGTCGGAGTGCTTTTGGACACGAAGGGAAACAAAATTAGTTTTGATAAAAAACAGGTAAGATGATAAATTTTGTTATTGGTCTTATGTGCTTTACCTTGTTTTAGTTCATTCCGCACTCAACAGGAGGTCTGCTGTGCCCAAAATGATTACTCTTCTAGAAGAACTGGTTCTCTTACTATATACATACAAACTTCAAACGCTTAATATATTTTCATTATGCGAAATATTTTTATATGCATATATTTTGTTTTCTAAATTAATCAGAGGTTTATCTTTTCTGTATCATTTATTTGTATAAATCTTATCCAGTAAGTGTAATTTTTTTTTACTGTTTAAACGACATATATGTTGTTTTCATAGGCCTATAATATTTTTCAACTTTTCACAGGCCTATAACATTTTACTAATCTTTTTGTTATTAAATTTTCATAAATTGTGATTTTTTACAAACATATTTTTAACTAGTAATTTTGGATTTTATTATTTTTTCTCAAGCCTATAATATTTACTAAATTTTTTATTATTAAATTTTCAAAATTTGTGAACTTTTGTGAATACAATTATTAACTAGCGCACTGTTTAATTTCAAATATTTTATTTGATTTCATAGGCCTGTAATATTTTACAATTTTTCTTAAGCCTATAATATTTTTAAAACTTTCACAGGCCTATAATTTTTACTATGTTTTTTATCACATCGAATTTTTATAATTTGTGATTTTTACAAACACATTTATTAACTAGTGCGTAGCCTAATTTTGAATTTTATTACTTTTTCTTATGCCTATAATATTTTAATACAACTTTTTACAGGCCTATAATATTTTACTATTTTTTGTATTGAATTTTTAATAAATTTGATTTTTTTACGAAAAAATTATTACTAGTGCGCAGCCTAATTTTTGAATTTTATTATTTTTCCTTAGGCCTTATAAATATTTTACAGTTTTATTTACATTTAAAATCTGTAATTTTTTTGTGAAAACATTAGTTAACTACTAGCGCGCAGACATATCTTATTATTTTCTTAGTCCTATAATATTTTACAGCTTTTCCCTAGGCCTATAATTTAACTAATTGTAAGCTTTTTGTCATGGAGTTTTTCATAATTTGTGAATTTTTGTAAACACAATTATAACTAGTGCGCAGCCCAATTTTGTACTATTTTGTTGTTTTTTTTAGATATTGAGTATTTCACAACTTTCCTTAGGCCTATAATATTCTACTAAGTTTTTATTACAGATTTTTCAAAATCTGCGAATTTTTTGTAAACACAATTATTAACTAGTACGCAGCCCAATTTTGTTACATTTGTTGTTGTTTTTTTTTATAGATTTTGGTATTACTTTCCTTAGGACTATAATATTTTACTACGTTTTTTATTATTGTAATTTAAAATCTGTAATTTTTTGCGAAAACATTTATTTAGCTCGCAGCTCAATTTTGTAATATTTGTTGTTTTCTTTATAGATATCTAGTATTTACAGCTTTCCTAGGCCTATAATATTTGTCGAGGTTTATTTAACAACCTCAAATCTAGAATTGAATTTTCAAATTCATTCAGGATTTCTTTGTGAAAACGTTACA